GTGGCCGTTTGCAGACAGCGCGTTTGGTCTGTTCCTCTGTAAGCTGTTTCCCTTCCTGCAGAAAGCTTCAGTCGGCATCACCGTCCTCAACCTGTGTGCTCTGAGTGTCGACAGGTAACACACATTTGTTTATGCTATACCTCTCAGGACTTTGCAGCAGCTTTTCTAAACAAAATGGGATGAGATTGTGGGAATAAGTTACAAGCTACAAAGGTAGATGTGATTTTTTACTTTATTATAGTGTAATAAATATAATATAGTAGCTGAATCATTAATCAGTTCCTCCAGGAGTTTGTGGGCCTAATGGTGCGTCCCATTTCCCATGAGCTGGGAATGACGTCACACCGGAGTTGACGGTGTTGCAGTTAACAAGTCAGAAAACTTCGCTAGTTGTTTACAGGTTAGCTATTGTTACACTGGTTGATGAAAAAAAGTCAACACAGTGGACGCTGTAGCGCTACTGCCGACTAGCGTTTGAGGCTGTAATTGCAGAATGACGGACAGACCTACGCACAAGTATAAATGCACAGGTACGTGCGTACCTACGTGTACGCACGTAGCCATGCATTTAGACCCTACGCAGGAGTATAAATGGGCCTTAACCCTGCACATTCAAACCAGCTTGCTTTGATGCTGTCAGCACTTGCAGTTGAGCAGGATGCTACAACCTGTTGCAGGAAACTGTGATTGGTCTAAATTGCGGAAAACTTGTGATGATCGGTCAAAATGAAAAATTTCACAGGGATTTGTTGAATTTGTGTTACTAATCGCAAAATCCTGGAGGGATTAAAGAGAGCAGACCAGCCTCTGTAAGCAATAAGGAAATATCGTTCTCCTGGAGAGGCTGAATGGCAACAAGAAATGTATTTGCTTTCTTGCTGAGGCTAGATGAAAAAAAACAAATGAGATAGGCTATAATGTGTTAATTTGCGAGCTTCGGGGTGCAGGCAGGTAGATTTTCTTACGTGTGGAGGGAGCCAAGCTGGGTCGTTTCAGTTAGTTAGGAAATTAGGTTTACATGCAACAATAACGCCATGTGCCATGATTTAAACTTTGTTTAAATATGAAGAAAGAGTGAATCATTAAAAACAAAACTTGTTCCCAGTATCGTGCAGTGGCAACCTGGTCACGGGTGCAGGGCACTGGTGTTCCCACTGTAACGGCGGTGGAGATCGTCCTGATCTGGCTGCTGTCCATGACGCTGGCCGTGCCAGAGGCCGTTGGCTTCAACATGGTCACCTTTGACTACAAGAATGTTACCATGTCCACCTGCATGCTGCAGCCAAAGACGCCGTTCATGACTGTGAGTGTGTGTGTGTGTATCTGTATGTGGTCTTGTGTTATTGTTTGTCAATGTGTTGAGAGTTTCTCTAAACCCTCCCTATCCACTCTCAAAACAGGTTTCATTCATAACTACAGCACAATTTTTAGACTTTAACCACTGCAGAACCTGTTATGGTAATAACTGAGAGACCATCTGCAGCACTGGTGGACTCATGTTTTAAAAAGTGCCCCCTTGGATACCCCTATGGTAGATAAAACGTGATAAAGTGCTCTCTAGGGTGCACTTACATGTAGAAAGTGTGATGATGTGCACTAATGGGTGTCCTTAAAATGGAGATGCATTAGTTGGCCTCTACTTTCCTCTAAATGGTTAAACAGCTAATAGTTCCCTGTGTGTTATTACAGAGGTGTAGTAGTTAAACTTTAAATATAAGTCAAGTAAAGAGGCAAGTTTAATCTTAACCAGGGTTTAGTGCTGTTGCACCACAAAAGCATCACAAATTTCTGCACAATGGTGCCCCACCGCAGTTTAACAGATCCACGTAGAACTTGTTCAAAGGTTCAGTGTGTACTTTTTAGTGGCATTTAGTGGTGAGGGTTGTGAATTGTACCAGTGGAACTCTGCACTGCTCACCCTCTCTTTACAAGTGCATAGGAGAAGCTACGGTGGCTGACACGCTCTGTCTGCTCTTATGCTAATAATGTGTGGTCTCTAGTTGTTCAAATTTCTCTTCCCTTATTACTTCTAATAAACCAGATAACTACAACAACTACTACTACTGCTTCTTCTTCATACAGGTGCTGGTCATATAATTAGAATATCATCAAAAAGTTGATTTATTTCAGTTATTCCATTCAAAAAGTGAAACTTGGATATTATATTCATTCATTACACTCAGACTGATGTATTTCAAATGTTTATTTCATCTACTTGTGATGATTAAAACCACACAGTCTCACTCCCTATTGTCAAATGTCTGACACATGGTCAAGGCCCTTTGTCGTCGCTTTTTAAAGACTTGGTAGCCCTTTTGCATCAATTATGACGTTTAGGGATCCACAGTCAAGTTAGCAACGCTTAGCAACAATAAATATGCAATATCCGGTTACACTTTCAAGATAAAACGTAACGTTTCGATACATTGCCATGTTGAAACGCGCATAATTAAAGTCGTGAAACGTTGCAGTTTCGTTAGGTTTAGGCAC